CTTAACTTCCTTCTGGAGTGAGCGGTGTCAATGACTCTGCAATACGCAGAAGCTCATAACTCCGCTCAAGATTCCTGAAATAAGACAAACATGAATATCAGAAGACCAACCATAAGCAATGAATTATTTCCATCACAATCATTGAATACTTAATTCGGTGGGAACCAGTGCTGAACCACTGTCTTTACTTAGCTCATCAACTGAAACAACATCAGCAGATTATTTTCCTTCTTGAAAATCTAAAGACATGTAATTACATTCAGCTCAAACAGAGATCTTACCTGCTGCTCATTCACTTCCGGAACTTCGAACAGGACAAATAAGCAGGGAACACATCTGAGTCTACTGAAATGACAACGATTAACTCGTGAAAGATAACACTAAGACGTACGATCAACTTCCCAGTCCCCTCAACAGTGCGAGAAGCTAGGAACCTAGTCGTCGTTGAAGTCATCCTGTATTACCCAGTAGTAGACGACCTTTCTGCCTGCCGGAACATCTGAAAATGAAAAACTGAGTTTTAACCAAACGTAACAGCTTGCTGCTCAATCACTTGGTAGAACAGATAATGATGGTTCTAACCATGTAAACACGTGAAAGAAATCGAACAAGAACAGAATGTTTATTTCCAATGCATCACAACCTTTCAACTGGCTCAGACGAGGATTTGGAACATCCAACCGAAAGGAATCTGTCTCCTCCTTGTGAATAAACGCATTCGGAATAATTTAATATTAAAAAATAACAAATAAAAGATGAATTAAATGAAGAAAAACTCAAATTAAATTGAAAAAATTGAAAATTTTTCGGAAATTTTAGCAAATTGGTCTCGACGCGATCAAGATTTCTAAATTTTTCAAATGGGTTGAGACAAGGTGGCCTCGGAACAAAACCAGAAAATTTTATTAAAAAAATACAAACAATTTGGTTAAAAACTATAGTTTTCTTCTCAAGAAAACTAGAGTTTCTTCCTTATCCACAGCCCTGTTTCACATCTCTCCGGACTCAGGAGCAGAAACTGGGTCAGATACTGATGAATCCTGAACAAAAACCAACAAGAAAACAAACGAAACATCAGAATGTAGACAGTTCAACGGACTATGAACACAGCCGCTGCAACCAACACCCCATCGAAATCTTTATTATCGTTTTCTTTCTACCAAGCGAACTTCTAAAATCGTGAAAGTGTAGAGAGAAAGAGCTGTACCCTGAGCCAATAGTGTCGTGCGTGGACATCTGCGAACAGATTTCATCAGAATGCTTTCCCTTCCGTAACACATTACAAATATTGATGCACTCCGAACCTTCTTGTTGTGTGAAAATGGAATCCCAACATCAACTATTCAGTTCTCATCTGATAGAGACACACTAGCTCTTTCTCTCAACAATTCCGACTTCTATAATCATCGACTAACCTCTTAGATCATCCAGAAGGAGTTTGACAATTTCGAACTTTTTATCAGAAGAATCCGAGCGAGCCTCGAAGCCCCTGATACCAATGCCATGCCCAGAACTCTGGCCTTCGTCTCTGCTACCTATATCCAACGACAAAGTGACAAGTTCCTAAAACAGTAGATTTTCAAAAAATCAGTAAGTGTGCTTACTTTGGTAAATCAGCATAGAGCGGACGATGCCTCACAAGCATTTCAGGTTCATCTTAATCATCCAGATCAACGATGAAATATTTACACTAAGGGTAAACGGTTGGTACAAGATAACAGGCGGAAACAGCAAAGCATCTGAAAAGTTTCCTGTATGAAATAAGAAGGAAACGCTAGACCAACTTCAAATCTAAGTAGAAGAACTAGCAGTAAATGACAGTCCTCAGTCTCATGGACTTCTCCTTCTCCGTGTCTGTACCTCATATGATAGTCTGTCCAGGCATTGTCGTCTGTGAATCTGTGAAGAGTGAGAGAATACAAATTTCATCCAAAGGAGTTAGATACCTTAAACGAATGATAACATTCAAATTCCATCGACTTGCAAATTTTTGTTTCCTTAAAAACTAGACTGTCCTACAGATAACGATGTGAACTTAGTGAAACAATTATTCTGTGAATGAAATGAATGAGTAACAATCAGAAGGAGGAAACCTACCATTCCTATTCATGTTCGCCAACTATATTTCGAAAGTCTCGAACATGCTGCTTGTGAAGATGCGAGAGCACTAACGTCATTCGTAAAAACGGGCATACTCAGAAATATGAGGAATCTTACTCGAGACGACTGTCAGAAAACTGAAAAGCAGAATACAAACTACGAAAACAAGGGTCTCCTACCAATTCCTATAGAACATAATTTCTTCGTTCTGAACATCTGCCGATTTGACACTTCTGTTCGGTGCGGGTATCATCTTGGCAATACCTGCAACAACTGAATAAAATCCTGTAAAGTAAAAAAAACATAACATAATGAAAATTTGCATAATCGAATTAGTTTCGAAAACAATTGAGGTGTCATTAAAAAGTTTCGTGCAACTACAGTAACCTACGTAAGATCACGTATGGCAGTTATGATTAGAGCGCAGCGTGTAGATTCTATGATTGGCATTGGGTCAAGATTGTCTAACTGTCAAAGCTGAATTCGCTATGAGAGCATTCTTTAGGAGATTATGAAAATTTTATATATATATATATACTCTGTATTCTATATTTGAAGGCTTAGAATCGCTGTAGAATGAAACACAAATTTAACAATCAAACAGACTTATCGAAAGAGTTTTATCGACTTTTAACGGAAAATCTTCTTCGAAACAGGAAACAAAATTAATATTCGACAGAAGGATGAAATTTTCGAATTCGATATTGAGAAATACACCAGATTCAATCAAGCTTGAGCCAGTTGAAGTTATCACCAGAAAGGGAACGACCGAGTCATGTCAGTCGGTGATGGGAGCTGGAGGTCGCTCCGGAAAGAGGCTGCTGATGGCTCTTAATTATGTCTTTCCTGCAGGATTATGAGCAAAGCAAAGAATAAGAGACGCGTGAAATATGATATTGATAAGCCCACTGTTCCAGATATCATTCCGAGTGTGAAACAGCACTGAAAACGAGTTTTTAGCAGGAATGGCTGGTGTGGCATGTAAGAAATCAGATTGAGTGAGAAAGGATGATGGGGCGGCCCCACCAGTCGAAAATATCATTCCGTTGCGGGGAATCGAACCCCGGCCTTATGGGT